AGCAATAAAATAGTAACGATCATATATACAATACATAATTATTAGTCTTTTACAAGCACTTTTTGGAATTTATTCAGTTTAGTTTATTTACAATCGCATACCCTGCTGTAATAATGACTTTCGAGATAACCTAACGACATCTCATTTTGCACTTATTATCTCCTCCTCTTAAGTCCATGAAACAAAGTCATTCATTAATTCTTTACCTTGATTGGTTCTTGGGTATTTTATTTGATGAATAATAGTGTAAAAAGGGTTGCTTTTATAGTATATCTACCGTTCAATTCTACTATAGTATAATATCTACCATCCATTTTTTACTATAATATGATATCTGCTATTTATTTTCTACTATATTTACCAACTGTTGGAAGTATGAAATATGTTAGGGTCAAGGGTCAGGGGTTAGGTTTGTGTTTAGAGTTAAAGGCAGTGAACAGTGAACTAGTTATGTCTTAAAAATCATTAAAAGTTTTTATTTTCTACAAAAAAGTTAAAAATCATCATATAGTGATTTTAATGTTTGTAAACTGATTTGATGTCATTTTAAAAAGCAGTAAACGTGTCAGCATTTTTTTCCTGAACATTTTCTAGCAATAATGAGTACCTCGTCATTTACGGTAGGCCATTAAAGCCTCGGTAGATATCATACCAAAAAAGGATTGAACAAGGATATTATAAGTGTGAAAAGTTCAAAAAAATATAGAAAGTAAAGTGAATATTTTCTAATCTATTAAAAACAATCTTTTGCCCTCTTTTGAATCTTTCCCTCTTGTTTATCAATTTTTACACTTCTACTTCTTAAAAGTCACTATAATTAAAAAAAAAAAACTATTCCAATGCTGAATAGGTAAATAAAGCCTAACAAACTTTAACCCTTGCGAGAATACGTAATTTCTACCCGAGATTTAACGTAGAGACCCGATTGTTTCCATTCGAGCCGCTGGTCTAAGCTGGTCAAAGCTTGTCTAAGCTGGTCAAAGCTTGTCTAAGCTGGTCTTAGCTTGTCTAACCTAGTCATACCTGTTCATACCACTGCTACGTAACATATACCATGCAACAGTAGTGAGGGAACACAAAGGAGGAGAGAAAGCCTCCGGCGCGGAACAGATACTACAAGCGCAGCATCCATCTCGACGGGAAGACCCCTCTTCTCTTCCTCTGCCAATCCCTTCGGAAGAATTCGGAAGGAAAACCCCATACGTACTTAATACCTAGCTAACAAAGTGCCGTTACTACAACGTTTCTGTAATACTACATACAAATTACTTAAATGTTTTTTACAAAAATACATAAAGTATCCGAAACGTTACATTGTAATGTTACATAGAAGTTGCCTTGTAACATTACATTAACAAAAAATGGATAATAACGACCAGTAAGATAATTAGAACGTGCATTCTTCATTTAAATTAGTAGTTCATCTAATAGAAGGAAAACTCTTATTTAAAACCTCCACTGCCTTGTGGCCACACCCAATCATGAGAAAGGCTTCGGGAGTAAACCCTGAGAATAAATCCGGAGCTGGATTCTCTAAGACAGCCCGCGGAAATTCAAATTCCAAATTAGTGTCTGGCGTTGGATAATTCACTTCATGGCTTGAAAAAGTCTTTAGCCCTGGGCGGCAGTCTTTCTATTGATGTTGCCTCGACAATAACACCCGGGTGTAGGGTTGGCGTCTCACATTTTGTATCAGCTACTGAAAGAACTATCATGACGTCCAGTAACTGCACCAGGGTTCCAGCTTTTGCTTAACCTCGATCGGACGGGGAGGTCGTCTCATCCTTACTTCTATGGCATCCTTCTGGAGGTGCCTTCTCGCGAAAGTTGACTTTTCCAGACACCATGGCTCGGGACTCAGGGTTGAACATTGGAGATCTGGGTACGGCAATACAGGATGGAGCAGTGTGGAAAGGGATTGTTAATGGAGGTCAGCCCAACCATGGGAGGTCGAAGGATGATGATGATGATGATGATGAAATTAGTGATTCTCATTTTTTTTAAATACGTAAAGGAATTTTATATTTTCTATACATAACGTTGTGACAATGTTGGTGATGACTGATCGATTTCGTGACAAGAAAATAGTTGATTGCTACGTTACTGTAACATCTCCGCAACGTTACATATCCCCCAGCTAAAAAACAAACAAAAAAAACAACCTATCTGCAACGTTTCACGGACCCATCTTTGTTAGCTGGGAATTTAGTCAACCACCTTTTCATATTGAGATGTCATTTTTCTTTTACTCATCTTAGAATGATTGAATGAACTACAAGAGTAAGTCTGGCTTAGGACGGCTCAAAATCACAGATGAGTACAGTAATAATAACTATCAAGACACACAGCCACTTATTCTATTATGTACTGCATATTTTCAGGGTTTAAACGACCATGACTCTCTACAGCTTCCTGACCTTTTTAGCTCTAAGATAGATAGATAGATAGATAGATAGATAGTAATGAACATACTAGGATTTAGATAGACAGATAACGGTTGCTGTAGAAATAAACTGCAGACGTTATATGTTAATTAAAGACACCCAGCGCGGCAAATATAATTTCTCTTTCTACTAGTTTCACTTTCCACGTGTATCAGTAGCACTACTTTTGACAAGGTCTGTTTTCCTCAGTGCTGGCTTTTCCTCCTTGACCCTTTATTTTATGATTTATTCCCCTTAGAAATGTATCTTTCTCGTGCTCTCCTGCCACGTTTTGTAAATTCTCTTAGCGCCGTCGAACCTAGCTAGTGTCAGTAATGTCATCATTTCTTTCTGGATATTCATCAGTACTCTTATGCATAAGGTACATCCTAACTGTTCAACTCTATTACATGATTCATATAACTTTTTACTCCTTTCTTACTAACCTCATTCACCCTCTCTGTACATGTGTCTATTTCCATTAATATACCGGGTGTAACAAGAAAATTGTCCAAATCGTGTAACAGCAAAGGGATAATTGCCCATACCAGAAAATGTTTAATATCTATACAACCACTAAACTAATTGAGATTCTTTTTTTCCATGTTTTCGGATAAAACGTCACGTTTATCTTGACACGATTTGTCGTAAGAATCACTGAAAAACCCTTTGAGTTATTCAGCTCGTGGGATCAACCGCGATTACGAGGTGGTTCAACGCTCCTCAAAATCATCCGATCAGAGGCCTTGATGCCGGATGTAGTTCTGATGTGCTTGTAATTAACTCAAATTTTATGACTAAAGCCAGAAACTCATTGTAGGTAGAAGACAGTCATATCGGGAAACATCCTTGACTCATCATGAAAATTTAACTTGCCACTTGCTGAATATTAACATCTTGTGAGGTATTCAAGAAACCGGACCGACTGTTGCAGTAACAATGTTACAGTGATCAACTGGCTCGTTTGAACAGAAAATACCTTCTTAGCATGAAAATTTAGGAGTGAGTTTGCCGCACAGAAATGCCCGTTGCTTACACTGCAAAATCAACGCAAATGGAATGCCATGATATTTACTTGGATATATTCTGCAAACCTGTCATCTTCAGGCTATCATATGTTTCAATTTGCGCAACGACACTTGATATGATCAGGGGTCCAACTATTTCAAGGTATAGAAATATTCGTCGAAATAGTCTCTTTATGACAAAATGAACACTTTAGCTTAACTTAGATATAGGTACATATCAAAGCAGAACACTTTGATGACTAGATAATGACGCTAGGAATGTAAGTCAATAAAATGTTTTATCAAAATATTCTGAGGACATTTGCATCAAAAATTTGATGTCATTTAAATGTACAAATATGATCTTTATTTATTGGAAAAGTGTGACTCTATTTTTTCTGCCTTCAATCCAATGACCAGACCTGTGTTTCTAAACGTGAAAGCAAATTAAGGACTTGCATGTTGCAGGAGGTTGATTATCTTCATAATATCACAGATTTTATTGTTTCGCATGAATTACTTATGGACGCACGGCGTTATTCTTCGCGAAGGTTAAACACTTTTACTGTTCACCAAGGCTTCGAGTGAAAAAGGCTAGAAAATTTAGATGCATAAAACTGGTATTTTCTGTATTCCAACACACACACACACACACACACACACACACACACACACATATATATATATATATATAAAGTGGACATTGAAGTCAACACTTAGAGGCTGAAAGCTGTTTCTTGCTAGACGCAATCGTCAGGCGGTCTGACGATTGCGTGTTGATTTCAATGTTCACTTTTATATTTATATTTACATACGCTCTATCTCTGATATTAAGCACTTTATCCCATAAATATAGCACCTTAAAACTATATTTCTTTATATATATATATATATATATATATATATATATATATATATATAATCCCTATTGTAGTTTATACTGTAACTATGCTGCGTAGACCTTAGTAACGATTTCTGGAAATGACTTTGTTATCTAGTGTGATTAACAATATGGCCACGATGACTTGTGACTTCATGCAATGGTTCAGTCTATCCAATTTCATTAACAAATCTTCTGTCAACCCGCGGTATTTCAGGCACTTTCTAGATCGATAACATCAAGTCTCATCGACCGTGGTGAGATTCGAACCCGGGTCTCATGGTCAGAATGCGAACGTTCTATATATATATATATATATATATATATATATATATATATATATATATATATATATATATATATATATATATGCAGAGAGAGAGAGAGAGAGAAAGTGAGAGAGTTTTAAGTTGTACAATATTTATGTGTAAAACTGTCCAGTGACAGAGATAGAGTATAAAATTCTAAAATTGGACTGTGTTCAACTCCCAGCAGAAACAGTGTTTCATGTGTGAACGCAATTACATGTCACACACACACACACGCACGCACACACACAAACACAAACACACACACACACACACACATATATATATATATATATATAATGTGCGATGGGTAAATTGTCGTTTAAATTCAAAAATAAAAATAACTGACATCTCATATTAACAGCTATATTTACCAAAATTACACAACAATATCTTGAAATACTAACGACTAAATTTATTGAATAAGATCGCTATTGGCTACAACCATGTTACTTCGGAATCTCCTGCAACTCTTCTAAATGGTCTTCTTGTTTAAGTTGGTGAACACTGCTAGAACAGTTGCCTTCAGTTCAACTTTGGTATTACAAGGAGTCTTAATGGTCTCTCGCTCAACTACGGCCCACGCATAATAATCAAGGGAAATGCAGTTAGGGGAGTTAGGTGGCCAGATGTCAGGGGTAATGGGGTCACAGAAATTGTCTGACAGCCATGACTGGTTCTCCTATTTGTGTAGCACGGTGCAGAGTCCTGTTAGCAGACATAGGGCCTTCCAGCAGCCACCCTCTTGACCCAGATCAGCACTACTTCCTCAAGGCACTTGATGCAGGCCTCTGTGTTGAGTCTAAGGTGCTGTGGGGAAGTGAATGGAGGCATCCTTGACTATTAATCACTCCAAACCCCATCGTAATCACCATTAGACTCATCCAAATCTTTCCGAATCCTCTGTACTGTCCTAAAATTGACACTCAAACACTTGTGTGTGTGTGTGTGTGTGTGTGTGTGTATGTATATGTGTGTGTGTGATGGACAATGTAAAAGATTTTTCATTCAACATCTTCAGTGGGTGAATGCAGAAAATATCTCCTATTGTTTTTCTTCAAACTAGTTCCGACGAAAGAAATGTTTTGGACGGCAGGGTTGTAACTAGGAAGTGACATTTATTCCCTAGAAATTTAAACTGTTGTATGACTTTATTTTAAAAACAAATGACTGTGTGACTATACAGCAAGGGAACACGTACTTTTTCCATACAAACACTCATACACACACACACACACACACACACACACACACACACACACACACACACATATATATATATATATATATATATATATATATATATATATATAAAAAGGCTTAAACACTAATATTCCTTGTCATAATTTATTCCATTGGAATCGTAAATACGATCCAATTCATCAGACCTACAAATTCAAAAAAAACAGAAAAAAAACAACTCCTTTCTGTTTTCATTTTGAATTTGTAGGTCTGATGAATTGATCATATTTACGATTCCAATGGAATAAATTATTAAACCATGGAATATTAGTGTTTACGCCTTTTTATTATATCTCACTCTGTCCTGGACATTGAGTTCTACCTGGATTCTTCCTCTTGGAATTTTTATTCAAAAAATATACATGTATGGGTATTTATATATTTTGCATATGTATGTATATTTACCACTAATATTATATATATATATATATATATATATATATATATATATATATATATATATATATTAATGCTCATATCAGCTCTTGTATCTTTTATTAATGCTCATATCAGCGCTTGTGTGTGTGTGTGTATACAGGCATACCCACAATAGTTCACAGTAATTTGCTCAAAAAGACAAGTAGTCTTGAACATGGTCAAATGTTAGCAAAGCGAAACACGTTATCAATCAAGTGATTTAAGTATGTTGTGAACGCGTAGTTGTATTATTAAAAACCATCAATATTGAATGTTTTCAGTCATAGATGTTAAAATTGTTCTCGTCGTTTCATACTATCATAGATGTTCAGAAAAAAAAATTTATCAAATTGTTTGATTGAAGAAGAAAATGAATTCTCTCTTTCATCTGTCTTTCTCTATATTCTACATAGAAACAAATTCCCTATTTCAATGGCAGACATATCACCTACTCAAAACCGATTCAACAATTGTAGTAGGCGCCCGTTTATCTCGTGAGATAATGCTAGTATCCTGTTTGGTCAAAATTTTGTCATTTTTTGAGCTGCATCCGGAGTGGCTTAAGAGTCCAATCTTTACATTGCGGGTATCGTAGATGTACCTTAAATATGGAATGAAGGTCTGAAATTGAATTGACTCTGGATTTATAACCCGCCAAATGCTGTCTACCGTGTTGGGCTCTCACCAACTGATGAGATTGGAGTGACCTCTCCAGAACATAGGCCTCTACGATGATATATGGAAGTCGTTCGCTGCCCAAACCACAAGGCACCCATCTCGTATAAGAGTATACTTATTGTTGTTTAACAGTCGTATTTAATCTTTAGGCGAGAAATGGCACAGTATAGAAGTCGGTAATGAAAACAGCATGTGATATCTTAGGTTTGCTGAGCATTACAAAATCTGGCTTTAACGGCAACAGAGCGTACATTACACATCAACTTCAATGACGTAAAATGTTGTAATTTTGGTAAAGTATCTGTATTCTAGTTTTTAGCAGATATTCTGGTAAAATTTTAAAACTCTTCGTCCATCTTTTTATTAATGTTCATATCAGCGCTCCGTTTGTGTCTAGGCTTTAGATGGCAGCGAATACAGAGGTAAAGTCCAGACTGGTGAAAGAGTTATGTTCTAGAAGGTGTCGTGTCGCGAAGATGTACACATGCTCTTTTAGTTAAGTTAGAAAGGGGACGGATTGTAGACCTGCAAAGGGCGAGATTTTC